CCAAACTGCCAATTTTCCCAAACCCCCCCTTTAAAGGCAGGCATTGTACTTCCCCCTTTCCAGGGCTCAAGTCGGAAAAAAAATGAAATAAACCCGGTTTTTCCCCGAAAACCCCTTTACTAAAAATTACCTGCTCCACCCAACAGATGTCAGGTCCCAAGTATTTATTCGCCTTTCCCTTCACTCCTATCTAATACGCTAAAGTACCTTGGTGGAAGTCCAAGCCCCCAGCCAAAAACTCCTTTACCCCCCCTTTCCCAAAACCCCTTTTGAGGAAAGGGCCCTACCCCCCACCCCCCCTTCCTTCCCCTAAGATTTATAGCTTTACATGTAAAACTACTTTGATCCATTCTCTCAAATGACCTTTCCCCCTCAAAAAACCCCCCTTCTGCCCCTGGGTAATTTCTTTTTTTAACTCCACACCTTCTCCTTTAAATTTTCCCCACTCCGGGAAATTTTTTGCATAATATTTACAAACACATTGTCCCTTTGAAAGGACATCTCCCCTTTCTCCAACCGTTCCTCGCTTTCTGATTTTCCCCCCAAGCTTCACCCATATAAAAAGGTTGGTTCTACTTTTTACTTTATTTAATTCCCCTTTTGCCCCCATAGATAAAAGTTTTTTGATCCCTTTCAGGAAGGCCCGCTTTTTGGCCCTTTCCCCTTTTCGGCGTTCCCCTAATAAGGACATTTCAAATTATGACCAAAAAATCGCTATATGGCTCCCCCCAAACCCGAATTTCAATACGGTCACGTTTTCCCCCCCGTTTGTTAACATTCTCCCTGAGCTCAAATAAGCACTAAGCTCTCCCTTTTGTCTGGAAACCCCCAAAATTTAAATGTTTTTAAAAAATTTTTTCATATTTTTTTAAAAACTCTGATAAAAAAAACTTAAATTTTTACCTGTAACCCAAAAAAACTTAAATAATCGAGTCATTTAAATGTTGTTTATTTCGTTTTAAAATATCAATTTTTATTAAAACCCTCCATGATATTTTTTTCAAAATTATATTAATAAACACGATGCATAAACATATAAATAAAAATAAATACACCCCCCAGTTTGAATAAATAAAAAAATGTTTAGACTTGAGCCCGACGACTTGCACCCAAATGGTGATAAAAAAAAATACTGGGGTTCATTAAATTTTTGGGATATTCGATAAAATACAAATTTTCATTTAAACCATCCATGATATTTTTTTTAAAATTATATAAAAAAAACACGATGCAAAAATTTTAAAAAAAGATAAATACACCCCACATTAGGGAAAAATTAAAAATAAATGTGATCTGTGGTTTTGCAGACGAAATTCCCCAAATGGTGATAAATAACAAAAGTCACGGAGTCTCATTAAATGTCGTATAAATTTCGGTTTTAAAATTCACAATTTTTATTAATTTCCCGCCATGATATTTTTTTCCCAAAAATTAAAATAATAAACCGTACATAAATAAAAAGATGTTTAAAAACACCCCACAAAAGAAAAATAAAAAATAAATAAAAGATGTGGGAGCTGGTTTGTTTAACCCCTGTGCCTGGCCTGTACCTCTCATGTTCTCCTTTTTCTCTCTTCATTTATTCGTTTTATCTCATTTTCTTAATCCTGACCCCACATTAAGACTAAAAAATTTTTTAAAGGGAAAATAATGAAATGAACCCGTTTAAACATTTTTGCTCTGGGATGCCCTTTAAAAATATAGAATTGTATGTGTGGGTTTGGGGGGCTTTGGGGGAAATAGCCTGGCTATTACAAAACATACCCAACCCCTTTATTTCTTACAATAAAAATACTTGTTTTCAACCCCAGATTAAGGGCTATAAAAAATTTTAAAAGGAAAAAAATTTAAAGAGTGCACTATTGTGATTGTACCTTTTTATTTTTTTTTTGATGCCGGTTTATTGCCCCAACTTATTTTATGTTAGTGTAACTTGTTTTCTGTGTTTTTATTTAAATTTTTAAGTGGAAAAAAAGGGTGTTCCCCTTTACGGCGATTTCCGGGTTTAGGCGGTTGCCCGGAAAAGTAACCCGCCCTTAAGTGGGGCCTTTTTGTAACCTCAAAAGCACCCCTCACCTTTTTCCCCTTTAATTCTATGATTAACCTCTTTCCCTTTATTAAAAAACCATCCGGGGCCGGGGGGACGTCAACTCACCCAAATATCTGAAAAAAATTATTCTTCCCTACTCCTCCTCCCCTTTTGAATCCAATTTTTTCTTTACTAAATCATTTGATACCCCCATCACCTTTACTCTTTTTTTATGTTCACTTTAACTTTCTACCTTTAACACCTTCTCAAACTCATCCACAACTTTGCAATTTTTCTTTTGAATTCCCTTTAAACACCCGTAAATCAGCAAAAAGTATATATAAAATATTTATATATATGAAAGTATATATTTTAAAATGTATATATATATTTTTTATATTTTTTATTTTTATATATATAATAAAATTATATTTTAAAATATTTTTTATAAATATATATGTAGTATGACCTAAGTGAAGTAGAAGTGCAAAATGTACCGAAATCCGCATTTTTTTGAGACACAAAAAAAGGGCACCAGCAATCCTACCATATAAAATATACAAACACACTACTTTAATTATAAAAAGATGAAAGAAGTTTTATTTATTAACAATCAATACTCAATATATATTCCCAAAAATAAAGTTTTAATTTTATGTGTATTTTCATTTAAATTTTTCACTTTTTTTTCCACTGCCTTAAACCCCTTTAAAAGGGGGAGAAGGGCCCGAATTAATATTGCGTGTCCCACTCTTTAAAAAAAAAATTTTTTTTAAAAGGTAGAGAATCTTTTTTTGAAAAGGTTTAAAGATGCCCAAAAATAAGAAATTGCAGGCACAAAGTTGGTTTTTTTTGGGGACGTTTATGCATCCATGATTTGGCCCCCTTTGATTTCTTTTTTAAGCCCAAATTTCCCTTTTCTCCAGTCAAAACCAAAATTTTTTGTTTTTTCCTAGTATGCCTTTTTTGGGCTATGGATGGTACAAGAAACTGCCCAAATTTTAAAATATTACAACTTTCCCTATAAAGTGCAAGAAGTCAGTAATTTGGGGCCAAATTTTTTTCAGAAATTAAAAAAAAAAATTTAAAAGTCAAAATAAAAAATTTTAGATATTCCCCGGCACTAAAAAACATTTTTTGCTCATTTTAAACATGGCCCCCCAAAAATTTTCCCCATTTTAAAATTTGGGTTTTTTTTTGAATTTATAATAACCAAAAAAAAGAAAATTTTTTCTTTTTTTTTTTCGAAAATAAAAAATAACCCGGAAATTTATTTGTTTATAGTTTATGAATTTCCCCTTAAAATGAACAAAATTATTAAAAACCCATAAAAAGACTTGGGGGGGGGGGGTCTTTACCCCTCCTTGGGAAAATTTGGGAAAAAATTAAAATATTTTCCACTACTTTAAGGTAATTTTCAGTTACTTATGGGGCCCGAAACCCCAAACCCAAAAGGATCTCTTGTTTTTTGGGAGCCAATCTTCCATTTATCAATTTTACTAAGAAAAAGCCCGGGCCCCCTCAAAAACCCTACAAATCATCCTAGAAAAAAACCTGAAAGTCCCCTATTTTAAAAACCCAAAAAAAGGAGAAAAGGTTTTTTTTTTTCCCATCCCTTTTACTGCCCTGGGGGAGGATTTTTTTTGTAGTGTAAACACACACTTACACCCCCTTTTTCTCTTGTATCCCAGGCCAAAAATTTTTTGATTTACAAAATCTTTTGGTGAGTGAGTTTATGGCGTTTGAACTATGTGAAGGACCCTGGCCTCAGTGATGTAGTTCTACGTGACAGCCACTGAAAAAGTTTATCATGACCATTCATTTTTTTTAGTTCTCTATGTACACTTTCTTCAGATTTTGTGCTACCATGAAAGTTAACCCTTAATTACTGATGTTGTTCCTACAGTCTACATACATTAAAAAACATTTTAATCTACAGAATGCTTCAGACATCCTTGCTATTATTTCCACATCAAAATTTAGATATTTTAATTCAAATTTTGTACACCGTAATAAACTGTTCCTTACAGTGATCATTATTCATATATCTGAACGTGTGTTTATTATGTTGGTGTGGTGAGCAAATTATTTTTACCTAAAAGACATGGATTCCATTCCCATTATTCTCAGTTATACTCCAACTACCAGCATGACTTTATTCATAATTATTCAGTATGTGGTCGTTATAGTTTTGTCTATTGTCACTAATACTAATACATATTATAATTTACTTATTTGAAGGCCTTGTTGTAGGGGATTCCCAGGTAAGATATATGAACAGGACTTTTTTTTTTTGTAACAGCAATAGAAGAGGAGGCAGAGGGTGTTTTCCTTGGATGTACAATATACTTACCTTCTACATTTTACCTTTACAAGTAAAATGTAGAAGTTAAAGTTAAACATAAGTACTACATGTATATAATCACCAGTGTATAATATGGTAATTACCAAGTAAACACAGTAGGACCGCTGTATCTGTGGTTTCAGTTATCCACTGTTTACCCCTGGCCCGAAAATAAAATAATTTTGCGTAATAATGTCACCAAACTGCAAAAGTAGTGATGGTGAAAGTTCAAAGCCTAAGAGAAGTAATGAAGTGCTTCCCATCAGTGAAAAAGTGCTAACTTTTTATTTATTGTGCATAATTTATCAATTAATCTTTATCAAAGGTATGTATGTAACTGAAAAATTACTTAAATATAGGGTTCGGTACTATCCAAGGTTTCAAGTATCCACGGTAGGGCTTGGAATGTATCCTAAGCAGATACGGGGGTCCTGCTGTAATTATGAAGTAAAACTGAAATTTACTCAATGTTTAATAATTTACAGTATCATGCTTCAGTAAGATAGTGGTTCACTGTTTAATAATTTATAGCACTTTAATAAAACCTCAACAGCTGACATCTGTAGTACAGTAAATAAAAAAAATAGTTTAAAAAATGTACCGTATTTGAAAAGAAATTAAATATACCTGTGAAAATGTGAGAAGACAAATGCCACATGTGTAGGGTCTCTCCCCAGTGTGGCGTCTCATATGCCGTTTGTAGTTGCCCGATTCCACAAACTGTTTGTTGCATACATCACAGGTATAACGAAGTTCTTTGTTGTGGTACCTCAGATGTACCTGTAAATGTTACAAGTTTAAGTTTATCCAAGTAATGTTTCTAATATACTCAAGATATGCAGAACAGTAATACTAGTAAACGACAATGCTTGCAATCTCATTTGGCTTTAACTAAATTTTTTCTACTGTATATTTATCAACTAACCATACTGAGATCTCAGGAGCCAAGAAAATACAGCAAAATGTCTCTCATTATGAGTGTTGGAAAATACAGTCATCTCCAATTTAAATGGTTTGTTAAGCAAAATTTACATTAACCAAATTCCATCTTTCTACAGACACCGATGTTATAACTGGAGATGCAGACTGGGACAGTAATAATTTGTATCTAATTACAGTTAATTATTTTAACAGTGAAATTCATAACTACTCAGCACATACAAGTACTTTTTTTGAGGAGAGGCTGGAGTACAACAGAGAGAGAACATTTTACTTCCGGTCATCCTGAATTTAAAAGGTCATAGTGGTGCGGTAAAAAAAAAAAAAATCAACATTTTTGCTTTTGGCAAAAAAAAAAAAAAAAGAGAGAGAGAGAGAGAGAGCTTACCCCACAAGTCCAACAGTCATATACAAAAAAATACATTTGGTAGAAAATCAATCATAATCCCTACACTGTATACAGTGGACCCCCGCTTAACGATCACCTCCTAATGCGACCAATTATGTAAGTGTATTTATGTAAGTGCGTTTGTACATGTATGTTTGGGGGTCTGAAATGGACTAATCTACTTCACAATATTCCTTATGGGAACAAATTCGGTAAGTACTGGCACCTGAACATACTTCTGGAATGAAAAAATATCGTTAACAGTATACAGTGGACCCCCGGTTAACAAAAAGCTAGAATTGGTAAAAAATGCTTCTTTATTTTTATCCCCAAAAAATATAAGCACACCAGTCATGCAAAAAAAAAAAAAAAAGATGTATTTGATCAAAATTCAATCATAAATCACCTCCCACCCTTCCTCTTCCTCCTGTTTTCTCAAGACTGAAGTATACACCTCATGTTATGAATTTGTGACTTCACATCTCCCTTCTCTTTATCCCTCACTCATAGATGCAATGGTGAGAAATGACCAGCTGTACTTAAAACAGTTGCAATTTAAATTGTGTAATAATAGCTGAATAACCCATTTTTTATATTATTTAATAACTATCTTCTTTTTCCAGACTATGGTAAATCGTGGTCACCCACAAAAGTATGGTAGTACTGTGGATAGCCAAAAGGGAGTGTACTACTGTTTCCTCATTGATTTCTTTTGCAAAACTTGCTACAGTGCCCTGTTGGTAATCTTGCTTAATTTTTTCACCTCCACGTAGCACCTTCATTAATATATACTATACCCCACTGTTTGTCTTTTGCTCTTTCCCTATTTACAACATTTCATTTTGTCATGTTTCTTCCCTAGTTTCTTATTTGTATGCTTGCTAAGGGATATAGCTCATTCTTCTCACCTGTATACTAACTGAGGGGTAAGTCTCATTATTCTCACTAATGTGCTTGCTAAGGGGTATGTCTCATTCTTGCCACTGTGCTTGCTAAGGGGTATCTCAGTCTTCTCACTTATATGCTTCCTAAGGGCTATTTCTCGTTCTCACAAGTGTAACTGCTGATGGGTAACCTTCATTCTTCTCACTTGTATGATTGCTGAGGTGTCTTTCTTCTCACTTGTGTGCTTGCTGAGGGACATGTCTCATTATTTTCACTGTTGTGCTTGCTGAAGGATGCCTCTCACTCTTCTTATGGCTATAATTGCTGAGGAGTGCATCATTCTCACATATGTATTTACTGAGGATATCTCATTCTTTTCTGATGTATTTGCTTAGGGGTATGTAATTTTTATTGGTGTGCTTGTTGACGGGATATATCTCATTCTTCACACTCTTATGCTTACTGATGGCTATGCCTTATTCTTCTCACTTGTGCTTGCTGATGGGTATGTCTTAGTTACTTGTATGCTTGCTAAGGTGTATGGCTTATTCACTTATGCATTTCTCACAATCTTGTTTTTAACTGCAAGTAATGAATGACTCATTTTCATAACAGCCAAATTAGTATTTTCTATGATGTTTCAGGTGGTCTATCAAGATTCTTCAATATTCTACATGTAGTTACCCTCACAAACAAGAATGGTTACTAGTGGGAACAAGGCATGAAAATTAAGAGGAGGGAGAAGATTGAATACTTCCTTGACCTGACACAGACCCATGAAAAGAGCTTCAACAATTATTCAACAACTTTTCCAGCTTTTGAACTTTAAACACTTCATACAATTACTTAATGTATATTCTTGGAAGTCTGTTTATATAAATATGCTATATTACAAAATTAAATAAAATCCTGCAAAGTTTGGCTGTAACATTTATTGACTGAATCTTATTTTATCTAAGGGTTTAGTGTTTCCCCATGATTATAATAATTATTTTATCAAAAATTTTTAATTAATTCTGTAAACAAAATACACTAGTAAATTAATTCACAGACTACACACTTTTCAATAAGTAAAACTACTGATGGACTCGCCTTAAGGTCATGGGAACGTGTGAATTGTTTTTCACAAAGCTGACAGGGAAAGGGCTTAATTTCATCATGTTTCAAACGATGACGACGCAAGTCAGTTCCTGTTACATAGGTAGCACCGCAGATTTCACATGCATAATCCCGTTCACCTGAGGGGAACCAAAAATTAAGTAATGGATATGTAATATTCAAAAAACAAATTTTCATTTTTAACACTGGCCATCTCCCACCGAGGTAGGGTAACCCTTAAGACAAGAAATGCTTTCACTATCACTGTCTTGCCAGAGGCAAGACAAATGCTTCTCCAAAACTGCAATATTCCCACCCCTCCTTCAGAGTGCAGTCATTGTACTTCCCACCTCCAGGACACAAGTCCAACTAACCTATGTCCCAAATCCTTTCATAAATGTTACCTTGTTCATACACCAACAGCATGTCATAAATCCTACATACCTCAACTCACTCCTATCTAACATGCTTGCACTCACCTGTTGGCTGTCCAAACTACTATCAAATTATAAATAAAGTGCAAAGTATCAGACAGCTCTGAGTCAGTATGTACTAGTGTTATATTTGAAAATTATTTTTAGAAGTCAAGATTTTCACATACTATTCAAAATGTTGTTCAGAGCATTCAGAATTATTTTAAAGTATGCCCTGAAATAAGCAATGTTTAAGTAAGCTTTATGTATTATAGATTAACAAAATATAATATTTCTTACCTGTATGTAATTTCGTATGCCTTTTGAGAGCATTGATTGCAAAGAAGGACTGACCACAAATTTCACACGTAAATCGTCGTTCTCCCGTGTGGTAAACAAGATGCATTTCCATGTTGGCCTTTCGACTAAACGTTTTATGGCACACAGGGCATTCAAATGGACGTTCTCCTATAAACAGTACTGCATTATTATTATATTAAACAGGGAAGCACTAATAACTAATACCACATGGGAGCAAAGTGATCAGCTTTGATCTGAGGAAGAGAAGGGGTAACTCCAATTCCTTGGATGAAGAATCTTCATCAACATCTAGGAGAGTCTATAAACCCAGTTCTGCTCATTGTACTCCACAGCAACAATAGTTATCAGATAACATTATTATTACCGTAATTTTTAACTTTCCAAATACACCTACCATCCGACTCATGACCTGCTTGACATACGACCACTCGACTTATGACCGTGTTTTGTATAGCAAATTTCTGGGAAATAAACAACTGATTGTGTTGTACAGTGTTTATCCTAAATCTTACAGTATAAAATACAGTACTAACAGCATAAAAAGTAAAGTAAAAAATGAAATATCAAAGTAAAACAATAAAATAAAGCCATTACAAAAATGTAATGTTGATATTCAGTAGTAAGGTTCGACTTACGTCCATTTTGACTTATGACCAGTTGGTCGGAACCAAGCTCGGTCGCATATCCTAAAGCATCAATCAGTTTCGGTTCTCAAAATGCTGCACATTGCACTAATAGACTACTGCATCCTTATTATTAATTAATAAAGTTACTTTACTCTTCTTATTATACACCTCTAATGTTATTGAAATTAATATCTTAAAAAGTTTTAACATCAACCACATATATATCTATATCATTTTAGTGCTGCTGAAATTCTACGAATTATATGGGCTTTTCAGACTGCACTTTCACAAAAGTATAAATGTACCCAAATTCATACTAAGTGTAATATTACAAAATATTATTTGGAAATAAAATTTATTATCAGTTAAAATGCTGTATATTTTATTAACATTGTTACTTAAATTATGAAAAAAAATAATTTATATAATCTCATTACTGCATTTGCATATATAATGTGACTGAAGATTAAGTATATGTTTAATCACAATGAACTAACCTTTATGTATTCGCATGTGTATTCTGAGGTTTGTTCGAGAGGAGAGAACCTTGCCACACATTGCACACTGGCAAGGGTTTGGCCCTGATGTGTGCTTGTGTCGAACATGGACCTCCATGTGATTTTTGGTGGTGAAGAACTTCTGGCAATGGCTGCATTGGTATGGTCGCCCATTATTATGCTCTGATCGCTGATGCTCTCTCAGTTCCCCTCTATCAAAGAGACATCAAGTGAACTCATCAGTACCAATACATGTATATTATTATGCACCACTTAGTTATACAAAGACTTGAGTATTCAAACTAAAGTATTTCCTCAGTTCATCAAACACAGCTCATCTCATATTCTTCCCAAGGAAATTGCCTTTATGCCAGTGAGGGGCTCTTGATACAAGGAAGTGGACCTGTCCTCCCCTTCCTTGCATCAAACGTGATTGCCTTTCACTCCCCATGCACTTTATGACCCCGCCCCTATGGGTTTAACCCTTTCCTGATTATAATAATCATCATCTCACATTTTACCGAAGTACCTTTACTTCTAACACATAAATACAGTGGACCCCCGCATAACGATCACCTCCGAATGCGACCAATTATGTAAGTGTATTTATGTAAGTGCGTTTGTACGTGTATGTTTGGGGGTCTGAAATGGACTAATCTACTTCACAATATTCCTTATGGGAACAAATTCGGTCAGTACTGGCACCTGAACATACTTCTGGAGAGAAAAAAATATCGTTAACCGGGGGGTCCACTGTACTCAGTCTGTCTGTCTTCCCAGTGTTTCAAATATTTTTTAATAGTGTATACTTATATATATATATATATATATATATATATATATATATATATATATATATATATATATATATATATATATATATATATATATATATATATATATTATATTTTTTTTTTTTCAACAAGTCGGCCGTTTCCCACCGAGGCAGGGTGACCCAAAAAAAAAAAGAAAGAAAATCCCCAAAAAGAAAATACTTTCATCATCATTCAACAGTTTCACCACACTCGCACATTATCACTGTTTTTGCAGAGGCGCTCAGAATACAACAGTCTAGAAGCATACACATATAAAGATACACAACATATCCCTCCAAACTACCTATATATATATATATATATATATATATATATATATATATATATATATATATATATATATATATATATATTATATATATATACACATATATATATATACATATATATATATACATATATATATATACATATATATATATATATATATATATATATATATATATATATATATATATATAATATATATATATATATATATATATATATATATATAGCCCATTGCTCCCGGCATTTTAGTCGCCTCATACGACACGCATGGCTTACGGAGGAAAGATTCTTTTCCACTTCCCCATGGACAATAGAAGAAATAAAGAAGAACAAGAGCTATTTAGAAAAAGGAGAAAAACCTAGATGTATGTATATATATATGCATGTGCGTGTCTGTGAAGTGTGACCAAAGTGTAAGTAGGAGTAGCAAGATATCCCTGTTATCTAGCGTGTTTATGAGACAGAAAAAGAAACCAGCAATCCTACCATCATGCAAAACAGTTACAGGTTTCTGTTTCATATATATATATATATATATATATATATAATATATATATAATATATATATATAATATAATATATATATATATATTATATATATATATATATATATATATATATATAGGAGGTTTTGTGGGTGAGGGGCTTGGACTTCCAGCAAGCGTGCATGAGCGTGTTAGATAGGAGTGAATGGAGACGAATGATACTTGGGACCTGACGATCTGTTGGAGTGTGAGCAGGGTAATATTTAGTGAAGGGATTCAGGGAAACCAGTTATTTTCATATAGTCGGACTTGAGTCCTGGAAATGGGAAGTACAATGCCTGCAATTTAAAGGAGGGGTTTGGGATATTGGCAGTTTGGAGGGATATGTTGTGTATCTCTATACATATATGCTTCTAAACTGTTGTATTCTGAGCACCTCTGCAAAAGCAGTGATAATGTGTGTGTGTGGTGAAAGTGTTGAATGATGATGAAAGTATTTTCTTTTTGGGGATTTTCTTTCTTTTTTTTGGGTCACCCTGCCTCGGTGAGAGATGACCGACTTGTTGAAAAAAAAAAAAAAAATATATATATATATATATTTTTTTTTTTTTTTTCAACAAGTTGGCTGTCTCCCACCGAAGCAGGGTGACCCAAAAAAGAAAGAAAATCCCCAAAAAGAAAATACTTGCATCATCATTCAACACTTTCACCACACTCACACATTATCACTGCTTTTGCAGAGGTGCTCAGAATACAACAGTTCAGAAGCATATACGTATAAAGATACACAACATATCCCTCCAAACTGCCAATATCCCAAACCCCTCCTTTAAAGTGCAGGCATTGTACTTCCCATTTCCAGGACTCAAGTCCGACTATATGAAAATAACCGGTTTCCCTGAATCCCTTCACTAAATATTACCCTGCTCACACTCCAACAGATCGTCAGGTCCCAAGTATCATTCGCCTCCATTCACTCCTATCTAATACGCTCATGCACGCTTGCTGGAAGTCCAAGCCCCTCGCCCACAAAACCTCCTTTACCCCCTCTTTCCAGCCCTTTCGAAGACGACCCCTACCCCTCCTTCCTTCCCCTATAGATTTATATGCTTTCCATGTCATTCTACTTTGATCCATTCTCTCTAAATGACCATACCACCTCAACAACCCCTCTTCTGCCCTCTGACTAATGCTTTTATTAACTCCACACCTTCTCCTAATTTCCACACTCCGAATTTTCTGCATAATATTTACACCACACATTGCCCTTAGACAGGACATCTCCACTGCCTCCAACCGTCTCCTCGCTGCTGCATTTACCACCCAAGCTTCACATCCATATAAGAGTGTTGGTACTACTATACTTTCATACATTCCCTTCTTTGCCTCCATAGATAACGTTTTTTGACTCCACATATACCTCAACGCACCACTCACCTTTTTTCCCTCATCAATTCTATGATTAACCTCATCCTTCATAAATCCATCCGCCGACACGTCAACTCCCAAGTATCTGAAAACATTCACCTCTTCCATACTCCTCCTCCTCAATTTGATATCCAATTTTTCTTTATCTAAATCATTTGATACCCTCATCACCTTACTCTTTTCTATGTTCACTTTCAACTTTCTACCTTTACACACATTCTCAAACTCATCCACTAACCTTTGCAATTTTTCTTTAGAATCTCCCATAAGCACAGTATCATCAGCAAAAAGTAACTGTGTCAATTCCCATTTTGAATTTGATTCCCCATAATTTAATCCCACCCCTCTCCTGAACACCCTAGCATTTACTTCTTTTACAACCCCATCTATAAATATATTAAACAACCATGGTGACATTACACATCCCTGTCTAAGACCTACTTTTACCGGGAAGTATTCTCCTCTTCTACACACCCTAACCTGAGCCTCACTATCCTCATAAAAACTCTTTACAGCATTTAGTAACTTACCACCTATTCCATATACTTGCAACATCTGCCACATTGCTCCTCTATCCACTCTATCATATGCCTTTTCTAAATCCATAAATGCAATAAAAACTTCCCTACCTTTATCTAAATACTGTTCACATATATGCTTCAATGTAAACACTTGATCTACACATCCCCTACCCACTCTGAATTATTATTATTATAATCAAAAAGAAGCGCTAAGCCACAAGGACTATACAGTACCCACTCTGAAGCCTCCCTGCTCATCTGCAATCCTACATTCTGTCTTACCTCTAATTCTTTCAATTATAACCCTACCGTATATTTTTCCTGGTATACTCAGTAAACTTATTCCTCTATAATTTTTACAATCTCTTTTGTCCCCTTTCCCTTTATATAAAGGAACTATACATGCTCTCCGCCAATCCCTAGGTACCTTCCCCTCTTTCATATATTTATTAAACAAAAGTACCAACCACTCCAACACTATATCCCCCCCTGCTTTTAACATTTCTGTCATGATCCCATCAGTTCCAGCTGCTTTACCCCCTTTCATTCTACGTAATGCCTCACGAACCTCCACCACACTTACATTCTGCTCTTCTTCACTCCTAAAAGATGGTATACCTCCCTGGCCAGTGCATGAAATTACCGCCTCCCTTTCTTCCTTAACATTTAAAAGTTCCTGAAAATATTCTCGCCATCTACCTAATACCTCCCTCTCCCCATCTACTAACTCCCCTACTCTGTTTTTAACTGACAAATCCATACTTTCCCTAGGCTTTCTTAACTTGTTTAACTCACTCCAAATTTTTTTCTTATTTTCATTAAAATTTCTTGACAGTGCCTCTCCCACTCTTTCATCTGCTCTCCTTTTGCACTCTCTTCACCTTTCTTTTACTCTCCATATACTCTGCTCTTCTTATAACACTTCTGCTTTGTAAAAACCTCTCGTAAGCTACCTTTTTCTCTTTTATCACACCCTTTACTTCATCATTCCACCAATCACTCCTCTTTCCTCCTGCACCCACCCTCCTATAGCCACAAATTTCTGCCCCACATTCTAATACTGCATTTTTAAAACCATTCCAATCCTCTTCAATCCACCTACAACTCATACTTGCACTAGCCCACCTTTCTGCCAATAGTTGTTTATATCTCACCCGAACTTCCTCCTCCTTTAGTTTATACACTTTCACCTCTCTCTTACTTGTTTTTGCCATTTTCCTTTTGTCCCATCTACCTCTTACTCTAACTGTAGCTACAACTAAATAATGATCCGATCAGTTGCCCCTCTATAAACATGTACATCCTGAAGCCTACCCATCAACCTTTTATGAACCAATATATAATCTAACAAACTACTTTCATTACGTGCTATATCATACCTTGTATTTTTATTTATCCTCTTTTTCATAAAATATGTATTACTTATTACCAAACCTCTTTCTACACATATCTCAATTAAGGGGTCCCCATTTTCATTTACCCCTGGCACCCCAAATTTACCTACTACTCCCTCCACAACATTTTTACCCACTTTAGCATTGAAATCCCCAACCACAAGTACTCTCACACTTGGTTCAAAACTCTCCACACACTCGCTCAACAATTCCCAAAACCTCTCTCTCTCTCTTCTCCAGGTGCATATACGCTTACTATAACCCACTTCTCCCATCCAACCTTTATTTTACTCCACATAATCCTTGACTTAATACATTTATGCTCCCTCTTTTCCTGCCATAGCTTATCATTCAACATTATTGCTACTCCTTCTTTAGCTCTAACTCTGTTTGAAACCCCTGACCTAATCCCATTTACTTCTCTCCACTGAAAGCCGGGGTGTCACTAGCACGTTAAGAGACAACACAATAAGTGTCAGGGGCCCGAGACTGTTCAACTGCCTCCCAGCATACATAAGGAGGATTACCAATAGACCCCTGGCTGTATTCAAGCAGGCACTGGACAAGCACCTAAAGTCGGTACCTGACCAGCCAGGCTGTGGTTCGTACGTTGGATTGCGTGCAGCCAACAGTAACAGCCTGGTTGATCAGGCCCTGATCCACCATGAGGCCTGGTCACAGAACGGGCCATGGGGGTGTTGACCCCCAGAACTCTCTCCAGGTAAACTGAAACTCTCCCACCCCTTTCAGCTCTGTTTCACTTAAAGCCAGGACATCCAGCTTCTCATTCATAGCATCCACAATCATCTCTTTCTTATCATTCGCACAACATCCACGCACATTCAGACATCCCACTTTGACAATTTTCTTCTTTTTTGTAATCTGTACAGGAAAAGGGTTACTAGCCCACTGTTCCCGACATTTTAGTTGACTTTTACAACAGGCATGGCTTACAGAGGAAAGATTCTCATTCCACTTCCCCATGGATATAAAAGGAAAAGTAATAAGAACAAGAACTATTAAGATAAAATCAAAGAAAACTCAGATGAGTGTGTATAAATAAATGTGTACATGTATGTGTAGTGTGACCTATAAGTACAGTACCTTTGAATTTCTTTGAGCTATATCAATTCACTTTTGTGATGGCTTACCTATTGTAGAAAACTACACGGCAAACACGACACTGAAGTGGACCAGGTTTCCTTTTTCCACACCCATCTGTTTCATCCTCACAACCAGGGATCTCATTTGCTTCTTCTTCACTGTTAAATATGAGAAAAGAATAATTAAATGAAAATAGTACAGTACAATACAATACCTTACCAAACAGAGTACAGTAGAGCACTCCTGATCAAAAACAAACAGTGACAAAGTAAATATAAATTCCTAGACTGTGATGATTCATTAAACTGTATATGCTGAACAAAAAGGGAAATGCAGATATGAGGAAGGTGACTGAGGCAGTGGGTAAAACAAATGGAGTTAAGACAGCTGGAATTAAGACAGAAGTTAAGAGCAGGTGGGAATATAGTTTTGGATTGATTAGTGTATTTGTTCAATATGTGTGTGAAAGAAGGAAGGGTACCTAGGGAATGCTAAAGAGCATGCAGAGCTCCTTAGCATAAGGGAAACGACAAAACACTGTAAGAATTACTATAGGGAAAATAAACCTGATGTGTATACCGAATTATTACTGAAAGAGTAAAGGTTAAGCCAGAAAAGATGATTACAGAAGAACAAGGAGGATTTAAGGAGGACAGAGGAAGTGTACACCAAGTGCTTACATTGAAGCATATAGGAGAACAATACTTAGATAGAGGTATGATGTTTTTTGTTGCATTAATGGGTTCAGAAAAGGCATTTGATAGGGATTAATGTGGCAAATGTTGCAAATGTATGGAATAAGCAGTACAGTGCTTGTCATTAAAGTATGCTAGGGAGAAGCATCCAGGATACTTTAATGTCAAAAGTAATACCCTACCCTGTTAGGTGTTTCAGGTAAATGAAAAAGTTATGCTGGCCTGGCAACTCGTACCAGGACGTCTCAGGATTCCTTAAGACTACTGGCTGCATTTTCAGTGCTCTCTATGCTTGTGTGGTGGAGGGATTTGTATCCATGGTCTCCCTGTGCCATGTTCTTGAGTACAGAGTTTGTTGGACATTTTTATTCGTGTATAGCCAAATTAGTAAGGGCAGGAATAAGTCACTAACATGAGAATTGCACAGATCATTGTACTACAAAAGGAAGACCATCAAGTGAAGGTAACAGTAGAAACCATCGAAATGTGTGAGTGTTCATTGAGGACCTAAATCTTTCACAGTGTGGGGTAAGAACATTTTTATGCAAGACAGTGATCTTTACCACACTTGTCAGCAGATGAATTTATGAATGATGAGGTGAACCACAGAACAGATGAGGCATCTGTGGATACAAAGAACTTTATCCATGGAGACAAAGGAGAGAATGTACCAGAGTACAGTAGTACCAACACTGTTATATTAATGTGAAGCAAGGACTTTTCAACGTTGCAGCAAGTAGGAGGCTGAAGGCAATGGAGACACCATGTTTGAGGGTGATGTGTGGTGTGAATATTATGCAAATAATTCGGAGCATGATGATTAGAAGACGATGTGAGGCTGCCAAAATTATAATTTAGAGGGCTGAGGAGGGATTATTGAGGTGGTTGGGACATTAGAGAATGGAGCAGAACAGGATGACTAGGAGGGTACATAAATGTAGGGTGGAAGTAAGGAGGGGTAGAGGTCATCCCAGAAAGGGTTGGAGCAGTGGCGGCTCATGTACAGGCACTGTGGAACTGCAGCACCCCCTATTTTCACTCAATATTATCGATAACATTCAATATAATGAGTCTTTTGTTTCTTTAATTCTTTTTTCATACTTGTACATTATATAATTCCCAAGTTTAATGTCAGCAGCCATGCCCTAGTACATGAAAAAATTACAAAAATCCTTGTATGGAACTGTGCACTTCACAGTTCCAGCAACTCGGTGTTTGGCTGTTGTGCGCATGCGCATGTCCGAGATATGACGCTGCACGCTAGGTAGAGAGAGAACTGTCACTGACACAGTGCTGACCCTGTTGTGCAAGTGTAAGGTAGTGTTTCTTTTTGACTCAGTGATGTGCGTTGTGCTTAAAAACCATGTACCATATTCTTGAATGTGATAAAGTGTAGAATTAGATGATTATCATGTTTCCAGCTATTTTATTTAATTCATAGTTTTTCTTGGTTCTTTTATTTTTCAGAAAATTTAAATAATTTAATCATGGCCTCCTTGCATCCCCAAGAAATGAGTTCTGTGACTGTAAGTGAACTTCAAGAGCTTAAGTTTTCACAGTTGTCTCTCCATGAGAAAGTTACAGTTAAGAAAAGAAGCTGTTCAACACCTTTTATATGCTTGTTTCATTTTACACTATTAAAACATTGGCTAAAAATTTTCTGAAGCAGCACCTTCACTAATTTTAGCTACGAGCTGCCAAGGGTTGGAGGGAGAGAATATAGAGTTTTGAATGCTATGGGTTTAAAAATTCAACAGGTTTGTTTGAATATATTAGACTGGAGTAAGTGGAGAAAAGTGGTTTTTATGACAATGTGCTGTTGGAGTGTGAACATGGAAACATTTATGAATGAATTCAAGGAAAACCAGTTAGCGAGACTTGAATCCTGAAGCGGCATGGATGGTGCAAGGTGGAAAATGGCTGATGTAGTTAAAATAATTATATACTATTTAACAGATTAAAATAATCAAATGTGAATGGACTCAAACAGCATCTGTTTAAAGTATGATGTCAAAATTAGCTATTGAAAATGATACGAGCAGAATAGATTAAACAAAAGATTATTTGTAGGGTAGGGTATAATAACTAAGTACAGTACAGTTTATCTTAGTGAATTAAAAACCTTGCTTCTTCCTCTTCTAAATCTTCTTCCTCTTCATGTTCCTTAATGGTTACATGGCTTGCAGTGAGAGTCATCTCACAAGCATCAGATTCCTCATACAAGGGATCATCAATAGCAGCCTCCTGGACTGGGTTATTCTTCTGCACAGTACGTTGACGGGCACTTCTTTTTGGTGCTGCATGGTTCACTTGTGGGTTGGTCGAGATGGTGCGAGCTTTATTCCGGCTACCAGGAGGCCGCCCACGCCGTTTTGTAGTTGCCGTTTCATTAGAGTCGGGTTCCTACATTGCACAAAAAAGGTATCATCAGAGTTTCAGATTTTTTTTTTGGATTTTAATATATGCCAAATAAACAGGTTATTAATTTGAATGCCAACAACTTACCTGTTTTTGCTGGTTCTGTGTTGCCGTTTGCACAGCTCGAGATGGTCGACTCAAATTCTTGTTAGTTGATGGCCTGCTTCTGCTTCGTGTGTTTACCTGGAAAAGATGACAATTATTTTAGATTTTTATTTTTTTCATGTATAGCACTGCTTTCTATTTAGCATCTAATATGACACCAATTTCTAGATACATTAAGAGTAAAAGTCAAAGGAAGTACGTACAAGGAAAATGGCATCAATATGTAAGAGAGGGAGATGGCATCAATATGTAAGACTGAGAGATATAAGCAATTGTTAAAAGAAAGGTGGGGTAGGAGACTACAGATAATAAGGAAGAGGAGGAGGAGGAGGAGGAGGTCAAAGATGTATAGAATAGACTTATAAATGAAATGGTAACTAGTGTGTGTACAACAGCAGTTTTAATTACGCCATAAAGTATCTACTTATTCATGACAATTTATATTAGATCTAATCCCATGACCAGAAATGCTTTACTCAACTTTTTGTCAATTTTTTTTTTATTTTTTTTTATTATCACACCGGCCGATTCCCACCAAGGCAGGGTGGCCCGAAAAAGAAAAACTTTCACCATCATTCACTCCATCACTGTCTTGCCAGAAGGGTGCTTTACACTACAGTTTTTAAACTGCAACATTAACACCCCTCCTTCAGAGTGCAGGCACTGTACTTCCCATCTCCAGGACTCAAGTCCGGCCTGCCGGTTTCCCTGAATCCCTTCATAAATGTTACTTTGCTCACACTCCAACAGCACGTCAAGTATTAAAAACCATTTGTCTCCATTCACTCCTATCAAACACGCTCACGCATGCCTGCTGGAAGTCCAAGCCCCTCGCACACAAAACCTCCTTTACCCCCTCCCTCCAACCCTTCCTAGGCCGACCCTACCCCGCCTTCCTTCCACTACAGACTGATACACTCTTGAAGTCATTCTGTTTCGCTCCATTCTCTCTACATGTCCGAACCACCTCAACAACCCTTCCTCAGCCCTCTGGACAACAGTTTTGGTAATCCCGCACCTCCTCCTAACTTCCAAACTACGAATTCTCTGCATTATATTCACACCACACATTGCCCTCAGACATGACATCTCCACTGCCTCCAGCCTTCTCCTCGCTGCAACATTCATCACCCACGCTTCACACCCATATAAGAGCGTTGGTAAAACTATACTCTCATACATTCCCCTCTTTGCCTCCAAGGACAAAGTTCTTTGTCTCCACAGACTCCTAAGTGCACCACTCACTCTTTTTCCCTCATCAATTCTATGATTCACCTCATCTTTCATAGACCCATCCGCTGACACGTCCACTCCCAAATATCTGAATACGTTCACCTCCTCCATACTCTCTCAATACAATAAATAATAATCTCCTTCCTCTTCGAACTAAACCTATCATTAGTAAGACGGTAATTACTCCCAAAGTAAATTTTTTTCAGCCTTATAGAAAAACTCCAGCAAATTAAACATTAACCAAATGATTTATACCTCAAAATAAAATAGGTTAGCTGCCACTTAATACAGTAATGTAATGCAATAATTGTGGACAAGCAATAAAAGATGCAAAACCCCCTGTGGTTGTTTTGCACAGTAATAAAAATTTTCAATTACCTTAGTCTTATTATCAGCAGAATTCTTTGCCATTAGAATATGGTCCACAAGATGCTTTTTGAGCTGTGTCCATTGTGTGTACTCCTGACCACAGACATTACATGTGAGGTCATCTGTGCTTACAGTGAATTTCTCCTCTGTTTCTCTTTTTATTGAAGTAGTGCCTCCATTTGTTGCCTTTGATGCTGGCAGGACAGTCGTGTTACATGCATTTGGGTCATCATATTCAATAACCAATGACTCTCCAACCTGAAAGCAGTATGTTCTTGCACAAAATCAATTGTTAGTGAAACCTTGATTTAATGAACTAATTGGGGAATATGGGAGGGGGTGAAGAGGGTGTCTAGTAATGCCAATTGTCTAATAAATCCAAATAATGATATTATTATGCCATGAATTTAACAATGAAAGACAATTATGTAAGCAAAGGACTTTGTCTGTTGTTTTCAAAACCAATTTATCCAGGCGATCATAACAACAGCGTACAATTCTGTAACCAGTGTTTTTTTTTTATTGTTGTCAAAATCAATCACCCAGCACATTATAGCAATACTGGGCAATTCTGTGCCCAATGGACTTATTCCACTGTTTCTAAAATGATAATCTTTTATTTCTTAGAAACATACAGAGATGTTACAATGGTTAGCCTTACAGTTCATCTGGTTGCAGTTTAAATAAGATTATGATATATACAATATGATAACACTGAACATTCAAAAGAAAGCCATTTATTATGCAAAGTATTTTGGGCAAACTAATTCTAAGACTTGCATACTACTTAATTTTGGTCCTAGTTGATAATGTATAATGGTAGACAAGGTGTGACAGTATAGCATGAGCAATTTGTTACAATCATATGCGACTGAGATTCAAAAAAATAGGTAGAAAAAGAAAGCTAGCTGTTGAAAAGGAATTTGTGCTGAGTATGAGACAGGCTGGACAATTATAGATACTTTACATTAAATTTACAGGTGGGCCCTGCTTTACGGCATTTCGCCAATGAAGCAGGTTTCAATTATGCCCCATTCTTCATTAATTCAGACTTCCTTCAAAAAATATACTCACCACTCACTAAATGCTAAGGATAAAAATATTTTAAGGTAAGAAATGTATGTTTAAATAGCAGGTTGGTAGACAGCAACTGCCCAGGGAGGTACTACCATCCTGCCAAGCGAATGTGAAATGGAAACCTGTAATTGTTTCACATGCTGGTAGGATTGCTGGTGTCTTTTTTTCTTTCTCATAAACATGCAAAGTTTCAGGTATGTCTTGCTACTTCTACTTACACTTAGGTCACACTACACATGCATGTACAAGCATATATATACACACACCTCTGGGTTTTCTTCTATTTTCTTACTAGTTCTTGTTCTTGTTCATTTCCACTTATCTCCTTGGGGAAGTAGAACAGAATTCTTCCTCTGTAAGCCACATGTGTCATCAGAGGCAACTAAAATGCTGGGAGCAAGGGGCTAGTAACCCCTTCTCCTGTATATATTACTAAATTTAAAAAGAGAAACTTTCTTTTTTCTTTTTGGGCCACCCTGCCTTGGTGGGATACTGCCAGTTTGTTGAAAAAAAAAGAAGTAATGTATGTATATGCATTGTTTAGGCCTAGCTCTATTGCTCACTTAATACATGATAATGTAAGCATGTTATCAGGCTTTTATATGCATTTGAAAGTGAAGAAAGGCTATGTTTCACTTTAAAGTGATTTTTGCATTACAGCAGTAGCCTGGAGCCTAACCTGCTGTATAAGTGGGGTCCTCCTGTACATGAGATCAATGATATACCTGAAAGTTTCCATTTATGCACCTATGCACTACTGCACTAAAAAAATCATATTTATAAAGCAGAATGGTTTATGCACAATCTAATTAGTATATTCTGGATAGTCAAATTCTTATTTAATTTTGATAGCCAGCCCATCCTCAAAATATTTTTGTCAGAGCTCAGCATACAGTACGGACTTGGTCATCCAGTACAACCAGAGAGGTTATTTAGAAATACTATGTCAGTGATTACAAAACATGTTATCAATATTAACACAAAGCCAAGCCCAATTTTCTTGGATTCATCAAGAACAGAAGCTGTTAGTTGAGTTTAAAAAGAAAATCCATTAATGACAACACTATTGATACCAAGAGTACATTAAAACTGGAAAAGAAACTGTCCAATGTCATATACTGGAACACACTGCATCTCCTGTGTAATTCAGAAAAATAGAATGCTATATGTTTTGGTATTGGAGAGATGTTTTTTGGGGGGGTGAGTTCTGGGACACGAATGAAGTTAAATACTATATCACCACTATATGTATTTCTACATTCCTCTTCCAATATGAAACATCAAATAACTGCTTAAACCATACTCAACACATACTGCATTGTACAGGAAGCATCTTCATTTCTCTCTCTTCAACAGAAGATACAGTGGACCCCCGGTTAACGATTTTAATCCGTGCAAGAGGGGTAATTGTTATGCGAAATAATCGCTATGTGAATGAATTTTCCCCATAAGAAATAATGGAAATCAAATTAATCCGTGCAAGACACCCAAAAGTATGAAAAAAAAAATTTTACCACATGAAATATACATTTTCCCACACACAAAGAGAAGGATACATGCACAATAGTAGAGTAGTACATGCACAGTATATATTGTGCATGTACTAGTCTACTAAATGAAGAATAAATGACACTTACCTTTATTGAAGATGCAGCAATGACTGATGAGACACTGTGTCCTGGGAGTGCCTTTTCCTCCTGAGTACTGTAGGTCCTGTTTGGCATTTTCTTCCAGAACAGGCCTTATCACACTGTGTATGCCACTACGATTCTTAAATCTCTCAAACCAACCTTTGCTGGCTTTAAATTCACCAATATGAGCACTAGTTCCAGGCATTTTTCCCTGTTCACCTGGGTGTTAGTCGACTTGTGTGGGTTGCATCCTGGGAGACAAGATTAAGGACCCCAATGGAAATAAGTTAGACAGTCTTCGATGACACTGACTTTTTTGGGTTATCCTGGGTGGCAAATCCTCTGGGGTTAATTGTTTCTTGGTATTCTCAATAAGCCACACCAACAACGGTGCTACAGCAGCAGCAGCAGCTGACAGTGCAGCAGCAGCAGCAGCTGTACCACCAATAGTAGCGATGGTTGATTGGGGTTTATTATACAACCTGGCCAGCTCGGAGACATGCACTCCACTTTCATACTTATCAATGATCTTTTTCTTCATCTCTATTGTAATTCTCACCCTTATTGCTGTAGGGTTGGCACTAGAAGCTTTCTTGGGGCCCATGGTCACTTATTTTCCAGAAAAAGCACCGAAAACACTGTAATAATAAGAAATATTCCGATTGTATGCTTGGATGTTACCGTGGAGGCTGGCTGGTAAACAATGCCACCGGCGGAACATGTGAGCGCGTCTCGGACGAAAATCGGTAAGCGGGTTTTTAAGCGGTATGTGAGGCAAAATTTTTGCAATTAAAGTAAGCGGTATGCGAAATAATCGCTATGTGATGCCATCGTTATGCGGGGGTCCACTGTACCTTGATTCTGAAAGTTTCCTGATCCAAGGAATTAGATCTACCTTCCCCTTCCTTGGATGAAACCTGATTGCCCCTACTTCCCAGGCATTGAATGACTCCTATGACTTAAGCACATCCCATGAATGACTCAAGAAATCGTAATGACACGATTACAAATAAACCATACCCCCGGCCGGGATTGAACCCGCGGTCATAGAGTCTCAAAACTCCAGCCCGTCGCGTTAGCCACTAGACCAGCTAGCCACAATAAAATTCATCCAACTAGGTATATTTCTACACCATAGGAAAGTTAGCACAGGCACCTCTGTGACCACAAATGCAAGTTTTTACAGACGAATCTCCAGCTAGCGTGGCCGTGACGAACTCTAGCTCAAGTCCCTTCACTGCCGTCAACATGACTCAAGAAATCGTAATGACACGATTGCAAATAAACCATACCCCCGGCCGGGATTGAACCCAGCCCGTCACGTTAGCCACTAGAGCTAGAGTTCGTCACGGCCACGCTAGCTGGAGATTCGTCTGTAAAAACTTGCATTTGTGGTCACAGAGGTGCCTGTGCTAACTTTCCTATGGTGTAGAAATATACCTAGTTGGATGAATTTTATTGTGGCTAGCTGGTCTAGTGGCTAACGCGACGGGCTGGAGTTTTGAGACTCTATGACCGCGGGTTCAATCCCGGCCGGGGGTATGGTTTATCCCATGAATATAACAATAATAATCTCCATGTCTTGGCATGAGGAGAAATGTGTGGGGTTGCTAAGCTCTGATTCAGTAACACAGATACGAGACTGTGCTTTCTGCCATATGTATCTTCCAATATAAAAAAACTAACTGTTTCAGAAACACTGAATACATGCTGTTGTGTAGCTTACTTCTTCACTTATTTCCAAGAACGGTTGAAAAAATAAATAAGACTAGACATGCTTACACCTCTAGACTGAGCTGCAAGATTTAAAAACCGAACATATCCCCCAGTTATTATTTTTGAATGAACTAATGAATGGACTCCAAACTCAAATGTTGAGGCAGGGTAGTTAATATTAAACCCTCAAAATTCAATGGAACAACAATTGAAAGGCTTTTTATAAAATGGTACTATGTACAATATGCCTTTATTTTATCGCTTACGTTCGTTTGTACAGTATGTATCTTTTTTTTCAAACAAATATTTTAACAAATATTTTTAACTTAATTTGTATATACATACCTGAATACAGGTTGAGTCTGTATGGCCAAATTTTCAGGTAAAAAGTAGTGGACTGACTTACACTGTACAAATAAAATATTTCTGAAGGGATGAAATCCATATTCTACCTTAAGAGCACACAAACAAAATTTACCTGAAAATTTTTGATAATCACTGTGCTACTCTCTACCTTCACCTTACTGTTTACTAGCACTGTGGATTACTGCAGCACTAACAGATAGGAGTCTATTCCCTCAAAATTTGACAATATTATATAATAAAACCTTCTTTTCAGTTTTATTTCCATTCCAACCTTTCATGTGAACCACATAGGTACCAAATACAACAAATATCTAACATTATATAGCTCATAAAACTCTCAACTTTCACATTTACCTTTGGCTGAACAGTAGAGGTACGAGCAGGAGGCACCCCAGATGATGTGGAAGCTCCAGAATCAGAAGGGGCTGTTGGAAGCTGAGTGCCAAAGTCCAGTAATGATGTTTGAGGGTGAGGCAAGTCCTCCTCATGAGGGCTTAGAGGAGTATTTGGAGTTTGAGGTGTTGCAGGTCGGGGCGAGCCAGGAAGTTCACCATGTTGTTCAACCCCTCCCTCAACCTCCAACACAGGATACACAGCACTGACAAATAATTAAATTTTACAAGAAAGTTTTTTCTTAACCCTTTCTTTCTCTTTATATATGGTACTAGAATCAGAACAAAAAGATGTTTCTCTTAAGAACTATATCAACTAAACATCTTACTTAGCCACCTCATATGCCATCTTCTAATTCACGATATGTACTAGCAGAACTTCAAAATATATATTTAAATGTATTCCACTAAGCTTCACATGCTACTGAGTGAGGCAGTACAAGCACATACGTACTCCTAAACACAATTTAACATTGGTTTTTCTGTATTCATAATATTCAAACCACAGTGGTACCTTGACTTACGAGTGCCCCAACTTATGAGTTTTCCCGAGTTACTAGCCAATGCTTGGTCAATTTTTTGCTTTGAGTTATGAGCCAAAATCTGAGTTATGAGCGAGCTTCAGATATGCCACCACTAGTTGGTGCAGTGAACACCACAACATCCACCCAGCATCCCAGGTTTTGTGCTTTTGGTGCAGTTATTTTGCCAAATTTCTTTTTTCTAACCATGGGTCCTAAGAAAGTAAGTGCAAAGGACAGTGCTGAGAAGAAAAGGATGATGTCCATTGAATCGCAGAAAGACACAAGAAAATTGCTTTTGTTTCAGTGTTTTCCTTATGAAACTAGTTATCTAGCGCAGTTAGCCTAACAAACACTCTGTTTTCTCTTATAAAAAGACCTCAGAAGTGCAAGAATGGGAAGATATGGTCAGAGTGGTAATTATTTTTACCTCAGGAGTGGCCGCCACCACTCGTCACATAATGACGTATTTTATTCATTCTAGAGTACGTATATATCGTTTTTTTTTTTCAACAAGTCAGCAGTCCCCCACCGAGGCAGGGTGACCCAAAAAGAAAATACTTTCATCATCATTCAAGACTTTCACCTCACTCATGCATAATCACTGTTTTTGCAGAGGCACCCAGATATAACAGTTTAGAAGCATATAAAGATATGTAACATATCCCTCCAAACTGCCAATATCCCAAACCCCTCCTTTAAAGTGCAGGCATTGTACTTCCCATTTCCAGTACTCAAGTCTGGCTATATAAAAATAACCAGTTACCTTGAATCCCTTCACTAAATATTACCCTGCTCACACTCCAACAGCTTGTCAGGTCCCAAAAACCATTCATCTCCATTCACTCCTATCTAACACACTCAAGCACGCTTGCTGGAAGTCCAAGCCCCTTGCCCACAAAACCTCCTTTACTCCCTCCTTCCAACCTTTTCGAGGACAACCCTTACCCCACCTTCCTTCCCCTACAGATTTATACGCTCTCCATGTCATTCTACTTTGATCCATTCTCTCTAAATGACCAAACCACCTCAACAACCCCTCTTCAGCCCTCTGACTAATACTTTTATTAACTCCACACCTCCTAATTTCCACACTCCGAATTTTCTGCATAACATTTACACCACACATTACCCTTAGACAGGACATCTCCACTGCCTCCAACCGCCTCCTCACGGCAGCATTTACAACCCAAGCTTCACACCCATATAAGTGTTGGTACTACTCTACTTTCATACATTCCCTTCTCTGCCTCCATAGATAACATTTTTTTGTCTCCATATAAACCTCAACGCACCACTCACCTTTTTTCCTTCATCAATTCTATGGTTAACCTCATCCTTCATAAACCCATCCGCTGACATGTCAACTCCCCAATATCTAACAACATTCACTTCTTCCATACTCCCTCTCTCCAATGTGATATATGATTTTTCTTTATCTAAATCATTTGATATCCTCATCACCTTACTCTTATCTATGTTCACTTTCAACTTTCTGCCTTTACACACCCTCCCAAACTCGTCCACTAACCTTTGCAACTTTTCTTTAGAATGTCCCATAAGCATAGTATCATCAGTAAAAAGCAACTGTGTCAATTCCCATTTTGTATTTGATTTCCCATAATTTAATTCCACCCCTCTCCCCAATATCCTAGCATTTACTTCTTTTACAACCCCATCTATAAATATATTAAACAACCATGGTGACATTACACATCCTTGTCTAAGACCTACTTTTACTGGGAAGTAATCTCCCTCTCTTGTACACACCCTAACCTGAGCCTCACTATCCTCATAAAATTTCTTTACAGCATTTAGTAACTTACTACCTATTCCATATACATGTACTTGCAACATCTGCCACAGTGCTCCCCTATCCACTCTATCATATGCCTTTTCTAAATCCATAAATGCAATGAAAACTTCCCTACATTTATCTAAATACTGTTTGCATATATGCTTCAATGTAAACACTTGATCTACACATCCCCTACCCACTCTAAAGTCTCCTTGCTCATCTGCAATCCTACATTCTGTCTTACCTCTAATTATTTCAATAATAACCCTACCGTACACTTTTCCTGGTATACTCAGTAAACTTATTCCCCTATAATTTTTACAATCTCTTTTGTCCCCATTCCCTTTATACAAAGGAACTATATATGCTCTCTGCCAATCCCTAGGTACCTTCCCCTCTTTCATACACTTATTAAACAAAAATACCAACCACTCGAACACTATATTCCCCCTGCTTTTAACATTTCTGTCATGATCCCGTCAGTTCCAGCTGCTTTACCCCCTTTCGTTCTACGTAATACCTCATGCACCTTCCCCCCACTCACATCCTGCTCTTCTTCACTCCTAAAAGATGTTATACCTCCCTGGCCAGTACATGAAATTGCCTCCTCCCTTTCTTCATCAACATTTAAAAGTTCCTCAAAATATTCCTGCCATCAACCCAATACCTCCAACTCATGTTTCCATGTTATTTATATTGTTTATTATGTCATATTAGATCAAGTGTGATGGATAAATAAGCCACAGAGTTGATATTAGTGTTATATTGAAGTATTTTCTCCTGCCTCCCAAGTGCCAGGAATTCTACTGGAACGGATTAATGGCATATCAATTAATTTCAGTAAGGAAAATTGATTTGATATACGAGCAAACTGAGTAATGAGCTCAGTCGTGGAACGAATTAAACTCGCAAGTCAAGGTACCACTGTACTAGTAAATTTACCTGTCATAATTATATATAATATTTCAGCTTTTATTCTATTTTCTTTGTTGAATGCAATATCCTGATAAAGTACCCTTTATTAAACATACACATAAAAATGCCTAAAATACGATGCTAATATGTGCTCTGAAAGCCAAAAGGAAGGCATCTGAAGAAAAGTCATTAATAAAAATAATAAATTTCATAACAGACAAGATTAATTAGATGAAGCCCTATTTAACAGTGCCTCAGTGAACTTGGTAAAGTGCAGTATATTTTCCAAGTCTCTACAAATGAGCCCTAAAGTCAATGAAATCCAACTGCATGTTACCCAGCACATTAACTGGATGTGAGCATCAAGTGAGGTTCATTTGTGCCACTGACCTGTGTTTACTGCACTTTTGTGTTTGGATCTTTCTACATACTTATTAAGCTGAGGTGGAGGTGGAGGTGGTGGAGGTGGACGATCACTAGCTTTCTGTTTGTGACGTCCGGTAATCTCATGATCACGTAGACCTTTAGCGCCCACTGACTTTATGCAGATGTCTACCATGCACCATCGGCAAAGAGCATATATCTCGCCTTTTGATGATGGTCCAACCCATTCATATTCACTTTCATATTTGATACTGCAAAAAAAATTTTATAGTGAATATTGAACAGCATGTCTTAAATAAAATATTGAAAACTACATTACTTTAGTAAACTTTATAAATTTTATAATTTTTTTTTATAAGGCCAAGCTTTTTCTTTTTTCTTTTATAGTACTGTACAGTGATGTACTGCATTAATTAAGTGCAGTAAACGTGCTGCTGACGAGTTGAAATTTGTATATTGTAATTCAAAAAATTCTGCTAAGAACCTATAGACAGTTGTTCTTGGCATCAAGCATACTAAAGCATACCAAAGAAAAAACACATTTACTCATGATATTACTATATAGAGAGGGCTACCATATGCCAAAAAATAATGTTGATTAAATTTATGGTAATAATTTGTCAAAAATTATTACCATAAATTATTTATTATAAAGCATTTTCTAACAAGTTATGCATTTATTTCTGACTATTCAGATAAATTAATGTTGAGGAAGAGAATAAAAAATTACAAACAGATTGACTAAACGACCAGGATCGAAAAATTTGAGCTTTTACCTGTGAACTTCTATTGCATCATTTTAATTCAGTATGGAAAATTCTAAGCCTTTAAAACATTTTGAACTTTAGATAGACTGAGAAAAAGAATTGCTATGATATAAAATAACTCACCTGTATTTTGTCTCATATTTTTTACGGCATCGTGTCTGTGATGGGTTGTCAGCCTCTTCCCCAGCTACAAACACTGACATCTTTACCGGTAAGTCATAGCAGTATTCAGAGAATAACCTGAGGAATGGTGAAAAAATTCAACAAAGCCTTTATTAATAATAAATTAATGTTAAACAATGAGCTGAAATGCTGTACTGATTTCTTTCAATATTTTAACTGCTATAAGTGTCAAGATGGGTCCTCATTTATAAATACTATTACCATTTTACTATCCTTATGGTAAGCTTTTTTTTTTTTATTAAAAAACTTACCATATTAAATAAAACATATGACAATATGTTTCTAGGTACAGTACATCACTTGACTATCCCTAGTCATAAGCTTATCATATTTTCTTTTATAAAAGCTGAAAAGTATATCTTAAAAAAAATTAAGGCTCCTACATTTGGGGGTCCCAACTATCAAATGTATGCTCCACTTTGGAACCTATTTTCTCATAGAAAAAATCGTTCAAATAATGGATGTTACACATGTTTGTGTTATAACAATTATAGTGGACCCTCCCTTTTCGTTGATCTCTGATATCGCCGATTTCCATTTTCACTGACTATTTTGGTTCTGTTTTCGTCGATTTCCTCCATTTTCGTTGATCATATGGAACCCGTCCAGTGCCCAGTGGGCAGACAAAGCCGACTTCCTCATGCATTCTCAGGCAGTGTAGCGCTGTTTCTCGGTGAGTGAACATATCCTGCCAGGTCATACGAAACATTTCATAATAATCCAGTGTTTTTGGCACTTGTTTATTGCGTATGACTACTAAATAAACTACCATGGCCCCAAAGAAAGCACCTAGTGCCAGCCCTTTGGTAAAGAAAGTGAGGAACACCGTAGAAATGAAAAACAAAATTGTTCAAAAATATGATAGTGGCATATGCATTGCTAAACTTGGCAGGATGTAAGGGAAGGTGCCATCAATGATCAGCTCCACTGTGGCAAAGAGAAAAGAAATCATGGACGCTGATGTTGCGAAAGGGGTGAATGTGATAACCAAACAGAGATCCCAAACAACTGAAGAAGTGGAGAAATTGTTGTTGGTGTAGATCAGAGAGAAAGAGTTAGCAGGAGATAGTGTTATGTAGTCGATAATTTGTGAAAAAGCAAGGCAGTTGCATGGCGATCTCATAAAGAAAACTGCCTGAAACGAGTGCTGATGTTGGTGAATTTAAGGCCAGCAAAGACTGGTTCAAAAAATCCTAGAAGCGAAGTGGCATACACAGTGTTGTAAGGCATGGTGAGGGTGCCAGTTCAGACAAACAAGCAGCTGAAAAATTTGTGCGGGAATTCAAAGGTTATGTAGAGGCTGAAAAATTCCAACCCCAACAAGTGTTCAGTTATGACAAAACAGGCCTGTTTTGGAAGAAAATGCTAAAGAGGACCTACATCACACAGGAGGAAAAGGCACTCCCAGGACACAAGCCTATGAAAGACAGGCTAACTCTCTTGTTGTGTGGTAATGCTAGTGGGGATTTCAAAGTGAAGCCTTTACTCGTGTATCACTCTGAAAATCCCAGAGTGTTCAAGAAAAACAGTGTTGTCAAAAGTAAATTGTGTGTGATGTGGAAGGCTAACAGTAGGGCATAGGTCACTAGGGAAATTTTCCTGGAATGGTTCAATGAAGTGTTTGGCCCGAGTGTGAAGAAATACCTCCTGAATAATAAATTGCTACTCAAGTGCCTCCTGTTAGTGGACAATGCTCCTGCTCATCCTCCAGACTTGGAAGACCAATTGTCTAAGGAATTCAGTCTTATAATGGTGAAGTTCTTGCCTCCTAACACCACTCCTCTCATCCAGCCCATGGACCAGCAGATCATTGCAAACTTCAAAAAACTGTACACCAAAGGAATGTTTCAGAGGTGCTTTGACTCTGAATTGACCCTAAGAGATTTCTGGAAGAATCACTTCAATATCTTCCACTGCATAAGCCTTACAGATAAGGCTTGGGAGGGAGTGACTTCCAGGACGATGAACTCTGCTTGGAGAAAATTGTGGCCAGACTGTGTCCAAAAGAAGGATTTTGAAGGGTTTGTGCAATCAACAGTGACACTGGGGAATTTCATGGGGTTGGATGTGAGTGGCGAAGATGAGCTGAAAGAGCTTCATCTGCAACAGCAACAGGAAAACTGCTTCAGAGGAGGAGGAAGAGAGATGGAAGAAGGTGCCTTCTTCAAAGATTAAGGAGATTTGTGCAATGTGGACTAAAGTGCGTTCATTTGTGGAGGAACATCACCTTGAGAAAGCTGTTGCAATCAGTTCTGGCAGCTTTTACAATGACAATGCCATGTCCCATTTTAGGCAAATCTTAAAGAGATGCCAGAAACATAGCACTCTGGACAGTTATTTTGTGTGACAGGGGTCCAGTGACTCTCAAGCTGGTCCTAGTGGCATTAAAAAACAAAGGAGGGAAGTGACCCCAGATAAGGACATGGTACCTAGAGTCCTTTTCTAGCAAGATAGCCCCCCCCCCCTAAAAATAAGAATTCATTTTAGGGTATGAAACTGCCTTCAGCTAAGTTTATTACCACTGAAACTTGTTTAGTTATCAGAGCTTTGCAGCCCACTTCTTGCCCACATTATGCAGGTGGAGGTAGTGGAGATGTCCTGTCTAAGGGCAATGTGTGGTGTAAATATTATGCAGAGAATTCGTAGTGTGGATATTAGGAGGAGGTGTGGAGTTACTAAAAGTATTAGTCAAGAGGGCTGAAGAGGGGTTGTTGAGGTGGTTTGGTTATTTAGAGAGAATGGATCAAAATAGAATGACTTGGAGAGCAGATAAATCTGTAGGGGAAGGAAGGTGGGGTATGGGTCATCCTTGAAAAGGTTGGACGGAGGGGGTAAAGGTTTTGTGGGTGAGGGGCTTGGACTTTCAGCAAGTGTGCATGAGCATATTAGATAGGAGTGAGTGGAGACGAATGGTTTTTGGGACTTTTTTTTTTTTTAACACATCAGCCGTTTCCTGCTAAGGCAGGGTGGCCCAAGAAAGGAAAACTTTCATCATTCACTCCATCACTATCTTGCCAGAGGCATGCTTACATTACAGTTATAAAGCTGCAACATTAACACACTTCCTTCAGAGTGTAGACACGGTACTTTCCATTCCCAGGAATCAAGTCCGGCCTGCCGGTTTCCCTGAATCCCTTCACAAATGTTACCTTACTTACACTCCAACAGCACGTCAAGTCCTAAAAACCATTTGTCTCCATTCAATCCTGTCTAACATGCTCACGCATGCTTGCTGGAAATCCAAGACCCTCGCACACAAAACCTCCTTTACCCCCTCCTTCCAACCCTTTCTTGGTCGACCCCTACCTTGCCTTCCCTCCACTACAGATTTATACACTCTCAAAGTCATTATATTTTGTTCCATCCTCTCTACATGTCCAAACCATCTCAATAACCCCTCCTCAGCCCTCTGGATAATAGTTTTGGTAATCCCACACCTCCTCCTAATCTCCAAACTACAGATTCTCTGTATTATATTCACACAACACACTGCCCTCAGAAATGACATCTCCACTGCCTCTAGCCTTCTCCTTCTTGCAACATTCACAACCCATGCCTCACACCCATACAATAGTGTTGGTATAACTATACTCTCATACATTCCCCTCTTTGCTTTCATGGATAAAGTTCTTTGTCTCCACAGACTCCTCAGTGCACCATTCACCTTTTTCCCCTCGTCAATTCTATGATTCACCTCATCCTTCATAGACCCATCTGCTGACACGTCCACTCCCAAATATCTGAACACATTCACCTCCTCCATACTCTCTCCCTCCAATCTGATATCTAATCTTCTGTTACCTAATTTTTTTATCCTCATCACCATACTCTTTCCTATATTCACTTTTAATTTTCTTCTTTTACATACCATACCAAACTCATCAACCAACCTCTGCAACTTCTCTTCAGAAACTCCCAAAAGCACAGTGTTATCAGCAAAGAGCAACTGTGACAACTCCCACTTTGTGTTAGATTCTTTATCTTTTAACCCCACACCTCTTGCCAACACTCGAGCATTTGCTTCTCTTACAACTCCATTTATAAATATCCTGAACAACCATGGTGACATCACACATCCCTGTCTAAGGCCTACTTTTACTGGAAAATAATCTACCTCTTGCCTACATACTCTAACCTGAGCCTCACTATCCTCGTAAAAACTTTTCACTGCTTTCAATAACCTACCTCCTATTCCACACATCTGCAACATCTGCCACATTGCTCCCCCTATCCACACTATCATGTGCCTTTTCCAAATCCATAAATGCCACAAAAACCTCTTTACCCTTATCTAAATAATGTTCACCTATATGTTTCACTGCAAACACTTGGTCTACACACCCCCTACCTTTCCTTGTTCATCTGCTATCCTGCTCTCTGTCTTACTCATAATTCTTTCAATAATAACTCTACCATACACTTTACCAGGTATACTCAACAGATTTATTCCCCTATAATTTTTACACTCTCTTTTGTTCCCTTTGCCTTTATACAAAGGAACTATGCAGGTTCTCTGCCAATGCCTAGGTATCTTACCCTCTTCCATACATTTATTAAATAAAAACACTAACCACTCCAAAACTATATTCCCAACTGTTTTTAACATTTCTATCTTCATCCCATCAATCCCAGCTGCTTTACCCCCTTTCATTCTACTCACTGTCCCACTCACTTCCCCCACACTCACAACTGGTTCTTCCTCACTCCTACAAGATGTTATTCCTCCTTGCCCTATACACGAAATTACAGCTTCCCTATCTTCATCAACATTTAACAATTCCTCAAAATATTCCCTCCATCTTCCCGATACCTCTAACTCTCCATTCAGTAACTCTCCTCTCCTATTTTAAACTAACAAATCCCTTCTTTCCCTAGGTTTCTTAACTTATTAATCTCACTCCAAAACTTTTTCTTATTTTCAACAAAATTTGCTGATAACATCTTCCAAGACTTGTGTCCTGGAAATGGGAAGTACAATGTCTGCACTTTAAAGGAGGGGTTCGGGATACTGGCAGTTTGGAGTGACTATCTAAACTGTCATATCTGGGTCTCTGCAAAGACAGTGATTATGTATGAGTGATGGTGAAAATGTTGAAAGATAATGAAAGTTTTTTGTTTCTTTTTGGGGTTTTCTTTCTTTTTGGGTCACCCTGCCTCGGTGGGAAATGGCCGACGTGTAAAAAATAAATAAATATATAATAACTATTTTTACAACAAAAGTGCTAAGCTAAATCTAACCATAATTAAGAGTGAAAAGTATTGTTTGGTAAAGAAGTACTTATCTAGTTTAATTCTTTAATTAATTAAGTATTATATGGAGATATTGCAGTACAGTACTTAGCTTAACCTAACCTTGTCAAATTCTGTGTAAAAAAAAAAAATTGTATTTAGAACTGAAAAGTTACAAAATTATAAGTATTATTGGTTAATGGTTCTAAGGGTCACTGCCCCCACAGCTCAGTCTCAGACTACGCTTAATAAATCAGAAAGGAAATACTGTACTACAGGGCTAAGAACTATTAGGAAATGCACAGGAAAGCAAAGATAAGTGTATAGTGAATGTATGAAGTCTGTATGATTTGAATATCATCCTACATGTTCATGAGACAGAAAGAAAATATCAGTAATTGCATATACCATAAACATTATAGATACACAGTGGACTATTTATGATAACTTAACCTACAATATCCTCCACTTCTCTAATGCAATTAATTCACAAAGAAAAGATATTTTGATGATTAAATACACAGAAAGTCCTAACCCTGGGTGGGCTATTCAGCACTGCATGGCAAAGAGCAGGATGAAGGCAAAGTTAGCACAGTAGGAAAGGAAATTTTTAGGCTGACCCTATTTGACCATCAGTTGGGTGCCCAAATTGCATTGCCAGATGTACCACCTTAGTCTATTTTCAATTTGCTTATTTTTTTAAATACTGTATACTTCTCAAAATTAACCTAATTTGTCCAAAATGCTCTACATAACATGGGGCTTTCTATATAATAAGTACATGGCTGATGGGTGAATAGACACAAGTTTTTAGTTATTAATTATTATAATCAAATAAATTGCTAAACTGACAGGCTTTTAGTTAGGCCAGCTTACAATGGTTTACAGATATAAGGGCCCGGTGGCCTGGTGGCTAAAGCTCCCGCTTCACACACGGAGGGCCCGGGTTCGATTCCCGGCGGGTGGAAACATGCGACACGTTTCCTTACACCTGTTGTCCTGTTCACCTAGCAGCAAATAGGTACCTGGGTGTTAGTCGACTGGTGTGGGTCGCATCCTGGGGGACAAGATTAAGGACCCCAATGGAAATAAGTTAGACAGTCCTTGATGACGCACTGACTTTCTTGGGTTATCCTGGGTGGCTAACCCTCCGGGGTTAAAAATCCGAACGAAATCTTATCTTATCTTAAATCTGCACAATAGCTGAGGGCACAAACACACATTATAGGCATACATATATATATATGTAGTTATGTAAATTTAACCTAGGATAACTAAGTTGAATCATGTGACCTTTTGGGTCTTTTAAGATTAGGATAAAGGAAGTAAAACAGTACTCACCTAGTTGAGGTTGCAGGGGTCGAGTCCTAGCTCCTGGCCCCGCCTCTTCACTGGTTGTCTTATATTCAGACAGAAAGAAAATATATTGAGTCTTATATTGAGTAGAGTCATCGCCAAGAACCCCCAAGTCAATCAACACCCATTATTAAATAATATATATATATATATATAATATATATATATATATATATATATATATATATATATATATATATATATATTATATTATATACATATATATATTATATATATATATATATATATATATATATATATATATATATATATATATATATATATATATATATATATATATATATATATATATATATATAAACTAGGTCCAAATCTGAATGGGCCATACAGGAATAAACCCCTAAGTACCTATTTCCTGCTGGATGAACATCAGCAACTGTATGGATTATTATTATAATAATCAAGGGGAAGCGCTAAACCCGTAGGGTTAGACAGCGCCTGTGGGGGGATGTGAAAGGTACTCTGGCTTAATTTAGGGAACTGGAGCACATACCCAATTCCCTAGATCAAGAGGCCCTCACCAGCATCAAGGAACTTCCTTGAGGGGTAACTGTATGGGGATGTTCCTGTATATCTCGACCCACCCGGGAATCGAACCCGGGACTTTCCTCTTGTCAACCCAACGCATTACCACTGTTTCACATATAATAAAACTAGACAGTGGTGTACTAGGTAGCACATTTCATCAAGTGGATGCTAAGAAAGGTTTTATTAGAGGTGAGGTGCAGCAGGTGTTACATGAGACTGTGTGAGTGTGACCCGCCACACAACACCATACAAGACACATGCCAACACCAGGGTACCAAGCCACAGATATTGTGAACAAGCCTTTATTGTGACAACATTTCACTCTGATGAAGCGAAAGGTTGTCATAATAAAAGCTTGTTTTGCATAAATGTGCTTTACTGCAAGTGGAAGAAGCAAGATGGAGGCCCTGTGGGAAGGAGGTGCGCGGCGGGTCACCTTACCACTCATCATATCTCCCTCCCTCACTCATCACATGACTCACAAATATCTGGAATTAAAGATTATACACTACTTCAACAGGTGTTCAACAGACAAAGTACAGTATAGCGTATTTACTCACTTAACAGACGAAATACTGCAGGGCTAAAGTGACACCCCGCGCAAATACCATCCTCCCACAACCAGCATTATCACATCGCTTACAACGCTTTGTCTACCTAATTAACTTAAATATTAATGCAGTCTCCTAGCAATTACCCGGCTCAGGTCACAGCAGATTCCATGGGGTCCTCATATTTACGAAACGATAAATAAATGTAAATGTATAGGAGCGGAGTGGTCGGTGGGTCGTTGTTGACCGACGCGTTACCGTCGCCTCCAGTAATTTAAATTATGATAGACCTACTCTTGATAGGCTCTGTATCCAAGGAATTGGAGCTACTTTCTATAAAGTTGAACCTAATTAGCTCGCATTCTTCAGGCGCTGTATGATCCTTTACTGGTTTAGAGATTCCCCATAAGCATATTATTATTATTATAATCAAGGGGAAGCGCTGAACCCGTAAGATTATACATAGTTTTAGTAAGTTTATTCAGGTATACACAAATATAGATACATAGATTATCATACATAGCAGCATATGCGAACCCAGGATAACTCAAAAAAGTCAGTGACTTATTTTTATTGGGGTCCTTTGAATACCCACAACATGCTATAAATGGATTATTGTAATTATAATCATGGGGAGCGCTAAACCCGTAGGATTATACAGCGCATGTGGGGGGATGGAAGGTATTCACGTTCAGTTCAGACAACTGGAGCACAGATCCAATTCCCTAGATCAAGAGCTCTTCCTTTGAGGGGATATTATAAAAGGAGATAATATCTTAATATTATACTATAAAGGAGATATACTACGAATAAGGTAAAATGAGTTATTTATACTTGTGTGTTAGCTAAAACAATAAAAAAACATTCTTCCTTTCTGTCACTACATTCATTAGGTACATTTTAGCTCTCTTCTTGAACTGGTTCATGTAAATTGTGATTTCATTACCTCTGTAACTTGCTCAGCTATCAAAACTTTGGAGTCCAGTCCCTGGACCAATTATGTACCTCTGTAATCTTTTGACTGTGTGTGATGAATGGTTTGAAAAACCGACAAGTTGAAGATTGAGACACTTATGCAGCATATGGGAATCATTATTCAGGAAACGTTTCGCCACACAGTGGCTTCATCAGTCCAATACAAAGAGGAAGGCGTAAGGAGAGGAGGAGTATGAGGTAATCAGTCCCTCAGCCTGGAGTCGATGTGTTCAGTCCATCACTCTTGTAGAATGTACATCAATCTTGTAGATTGTAGAATGTACATTCTACAAGATTGATGGACTGAACACATCGACTCCAGGCTGAGGGACTGATTACCTCATACTCCTCCTCTCCTTACGCCTTCCTCTTTGTATTGGACTGATGAAGCCACTGTGTGGCGAAACGTTTCCTGAATAATGATTCCCATATGCTGCATAAGTGTCTCAATCTTCAATCTTTTGACTACCGCCCACAGGATGGGTATGGGGTGCATAATAAACATATTAAACTAACTAACTGCTATGACTGGCTTTGACATGTGCAGGTAGTCTGTTTCATTCCTTTATTGCTGCACAATAAAAGGTGTTTGAAGCCTGGCCACTGACTGTGGGTACTATAATGTGTTGTCTCCCCCTAGTACTATTATCGGATAACATTTAATAGTACCTATGGAATGCCCCTGGTTATGGAAAGCACTCCACAAAGGGAACAGTAAAGCAATAGCAAATAACTACAGACCGATAGCACTAACATCCCATATCATAAAAATCTTTGAAAGGGTTCTAAGAAGCAAGATCACCATCCATCTAGATACCCATCAGTTACACTACCCAAGGCAACATGGGTTTAACCCAACACAAGCCTTCCTTATTATCAACACGCTAAAGAACAAGGCAGGAGATTTACATACCTTACCACCCTTTATATACAAAAAAGCTTCACAAGTACTGTCACCAATCATTGCAACACTCTTTAACAAATCCATCGAATCCTCTACCTTCCCTACAGTTCTCAAAATAGCGAGGGTCACCCCGATACATAAAGGAGGAGATCAAGCAGACTTGAATAACTATAGGCCAATATCCAACTTACCCATTCTCTCTAAAATCTTTGAAAAATTAAGAGCTAGAAACCTATACAGATATTGACGAATGTATTAATAATTTTCTAAAAAAAAAACCAATACCTCTATAACAAGCACTGCCCCAAAAAAACTAAACAGATGACAGCAAAGAGACTGAGCAGTCCCTGGCTAACACCCAGCATTCTCAAATCCATAAATACAAAACACCAATATGAAAAACAGTACAGAATGGGTCACATAACCAGAGACCAAACAAAACGTTACTCGTCAATCCTAACCAGCCTGATAAGAAGGGCAAAAAAATTGTATTATGAGAACAGATTATCCAACTTACGAGGTGATATAAAAAAGACCTGGAAAACCCTATCAGAAATTCTGGGAACAAAAAAGATATCACGAAATAGCGAAATAAAATTAGCAAAAACAGATGAACCCCAAATCCCACCAACAGAAACAGCATACAGACTCAATGATTTCTTCTCCACTATAGGACAAAACCTTGCCAATAAAATCCCAAGCTCAGATACCCCACCAAATGACTACCTCACCGGCAACTACCCGAACACACTGTTCCTAGCTCCGACTAACCCATACGAAGTCTCCCTTATTATCAACGCACTAAAAAAACAAGGCAGGAGATTTAAATACCTTACCACCCCTTATATACAAAAAAGTGTCACAAGTGCTATCACCAATCATTGCAACACTCTTTAACAAATCCATTTAATCCTCCACCTTCCCTACAGTACTCAAAATAGCAAGGGTCACCCCGATCCACAAAGGAGGAGACCAAACAGAGTTGAATAACTATAGGCCAATATCCAACTTACACCCTCTCTCAAAAATCTTCGAAAAATTAATTCATAAACGAATCTACTCCTACCTTATCTCCCAAAACATACTCAACCCCTGCCAATTTGGATTCAGGCCTAATAAAAATACTAATGATGCTATTATACACATGCTAGAACATATATACACTGCAATAGAGAAAAAAGAAGTCCCACTGGGGATCTTCATTGACTTACGTAAAGCTTTTGATACAGTTGACCATGACTTGCTCCACGTAAAATTGTCACACTATGGTATAAGAGGGCACTCCCTCAACTACCTCAAGTCTTACCTCAGCAACAGAAGCCAATATGTGTACGCAAATGGGGCAAACTCTTCTGCACAACCAATTACAGTTGGTGTCCCACAGGGAAGTGTCCTTGGCCCTCTTCTCTTTCTCCTATACATAAATGACCTTCCAAATGCTTCGCAATTACTCAAACCCACACTATTTGCAGATGACACTACATACGTCTTCTCTCACCCGAGCCCAGTCACGCTAGCCAATACTGTAAATACCGAATTACAGAAAATATCTACCTGGATGAGGACTAACAAACTTACACTAAACATTGACAAAACCTACTTCATTCAGTTTGGTAACAGAGCTACAGATGTCCCTCTTAACATAATGATAAATGGATCACCTATCACAAAACTAACAGAGGGAAAATTCTTAGGAATCCACCTTGATAATAGACTCAAATTTCATACACATATACATCAAATTTCTAAGAAAATTTCCAAGACTGTAGGCATACTATCGAAGATACGGTACTATGTTCCACAGTCAGCCCTCCTGGCCCTATATCACTCTCTTATTTACCCCTATCTCACCTATGGAATTTGTGCATGGGGCTCGACAACAATTAACCATCTCAGACCACTAATTACCCAACAAAAGGCTGCAGTTAGAATGATAACAAATTCTCACTACAGGCAGCACACTCCACCAATATTCAATACACTAAACCTACTCACCATACAAAACATCCATACTTATTACTGCACCTATTACATACATAGAACACTTAACTCTGATATTAACCCTCCCCTCAAACATCTCCTTGCCAACCTCAACAGAACACATGACCATAACACAAGGCACAGATCACTCTTTGATGTTCCTCGTGTCCATCTCACACTATGCAAAAACTCAATGCACATAAAAGGCCCTAAAATCTGGAATTCATTACCTGTAAATATAAAAGAAACACAACCTGTTTATAAATTCAAGTCTCTTCTCAAAGATTACTTACTCACCCAAAACCAAATAAATACTGAATAACTGAACATTATAAATTGTATATCTTAAATGTTTCTCACAATTATATCACATAAATGTTAAACCTAAAACCCAATCTAACTTATTATTTTTTAAAAACTACCTAACAGAATCACTACCTAACTGAATGCAACCATATGACCTGTCTTTGTAATACTCACTTGTGCTTTATAGTTATCTGTTTACATTAATGTTTTATCACTGATTTCATCATTGCTTAGTAGCAGCGCTGTATAGTCCTTGTGGCTTAGCGCTTCTTTTTGATTATAATAATAATAATAATCATTGCTTAGTTAATCTTAAGTTAATTTTAAGCCAGCCCGTAATGCTATGCATAGTATAAGTGGCTTTGGCATACTGCTCTTATCTGTATTTTTTTGTACCTCTGTATGTGTGCACAAATTGGAAATAAATAAATAAATAAAAAATAAATTCATAAGCGAATCTATTCCTACCTCATCTCCCACAACATACTCAACCCCTGTCAGTTTGGGTTCAGGCCTAATAAAAATACGAATGATGCTATTATACACTTGCTAGAACAAATATACGCTGCACTCGAGAAAAAAGAAGTCCCATTGGGGATCTTCATTGATTTACGTAAAGCTTTTGATACAGTTGACCATGATTTGTTGCACATAAAATGATCACTCCCTCAACTACGTAAAGTCATACCTTAGCAACAGAAGCTAATATGTGTACACAAATGGAGCAAACTCTTCCACACAACCAATTACAGTTGGTGTCCCACAGGGAAGTGTCCTTGGCCCTCTTCTCTTTCTTATTTACATAAACGACCTACCAAATGCATCGCAACTACTCAAACCCACACTATTTGCAGATGACACAACATACGTCTTCTCTCACTCAAGCCCAGTCATACTAGCCAATACTGTAAATACCGAATTACAGAAAATATCTACCTGGATGATGATTAACAAACTTACTCTCAATATTGACAAAACCTACTTCATTCAGTTTGGGAACAGAACTACACATATTCCTCTTAACATAATGATAAACGGATCACCTATCACAAAGCTCACAGAAGGAAAATTCTTAGGAATCTACCTTGATAAGAGACT